TTTAGACATTCCTAACCTGCATATCTAAACTATAAGATGCAGGGGTAAAACAGCATAACTGAAGAATGACAATATATACTTCAGGAAATCTGACAACACTGCATCAGAATTCCTTATCTGTGCACTTTTATTTCTTACTTTCTTTCTACAAAATCTTGCTATTTGCTTTCTTCAAATTTGTTCATTCACCACTTGACCCTATTTATAATGTTTCTTTGCTTTAGCAAGATCATTCCTGAATCCCAAATTTCCTATGTCAGCATTACATAAACTACTGCTGATTCTAGTTTTAATAGAAAACTTCAAAGTAAAGACGAAAAGGGAATCAGAATAAACCTTAGTATATTAAAATATTTAGCATCAATGCTGTGCAAACACAAAATCAAAACTGATTTTCATTACATAAAATCTAAAATATTAATAGGAATAAGCAATAAGGACTAGACCTGTGATTTCACTGATGTTGTAATTCCTAGATGAGGACATTCACTCAAACAGTTCAGGTCAACACCTTCTCTGTAACTGAGAAGTGAAATCACTTAAGCCCAATAGCAAGAAGGACTTGAATCCAGATCTTCTTGATTCTAAAGTCAGCTCTCTATTCACCATTCCAGAGTACCTCTTATGAAACAGCCATTCTATAGTTCACACTGTAACTCCAGAATCCACAAAAAGAATTCAGGGTAAATTTAGGGAGCTAAAGTGTATATTTATATGTATGTATGTATGTATGTATATATGTATGTATGTATGTATTTATGTATGTATCTGTGTGTGTATACACACTCAATCTGATGATCAAGGTACAGTAAAACTTCAATTAATAATACCAACTTACATCGCATAATATTTTAAAGTTTACTATGCTGTGAGGTGGTGATTACAGACAGTATTATTCTCATTTTCCAGATAAGGAAACTGAAGCTTGGAGAAATTAAGTGATCTACCTATTGTCAGTCTGTTTTAGTAAGCAAGCACCAGAGCCAGGATTCAAACCCAAATCTCTTGATTACAAGGTTCCTATCTTCCAAAGCATCACCTGAAATATTGCTTGAAGATCAAAGGGAAGACACCCTTCTAAAAAATAATTGCCCAGGTGCTGAGATGCTTTCTAAAAATCTATTCCTTTGGGTTAGGTATTACCCTCCTCAAGCAGACCTCCTTTATTTTTTTTTTAATTTTTTTTTAGTAAGGCAATCAGGGTTAAGTGACTTGACCAAGGTCACACACCTAGTACATGTCAAATGTGTGGTCTGAGGTCGGATTTGAACTCAGGTCCTCCTGACTTCAGGGCTAGTGCTCTATCCACTGCACCACCTAGCCGCCCCCAGACCTCCTTTAAAATGCAAATAATCAAAGATGGATTGTTACATTAAAGTTAGCTTGGAGTGAATTATTAATTAATTCACCTTTCTTCCTGAATGGAATGTCCAGGATAATAAAAAGGTAAGACAATGCCAGAGGAGAAGAGAGAAGGTTGGGGTGTGAAAAGGATGGAAAAACAAAAATAAACCTCATCTAGCCATGCCAGTAATCCCTGCTGTTGGAGGAGGCTAAACCTGTTGGATCTCTTGAATTCAGGAGTTTTGAATGAAGTAGAGCTAAAGCTGACCAAGTGATCCCATTAAGTTTGGTACCAATATGGTGAGCCTCTAGGAGTGGCTGCCTAAGCAGGAGCAAACCAATCCCAGTTGGGAAAAAAAAAAAAAAAGCAAGTAAAAGTTTCTGTATATATAGATGTCAGTGGCTGCTGCACTTCCAGCCTGGGTGACATAGGGAGACCCAGTTTAAAATAAAATAAAAATAAGGTAAACTTCATCCATTTCACAGAACTGTAGAAGTTTGAGGGAAGATACTAGGCCCTCAAAACATATGGCCCAAGAGCCACTTGCAGCCTGCCAAAGGATTTCAGGTGGCCCAAGAAAAACGTAGAGGACGTAAAAGAAAGTGAAGATGTAACAAGTGCTTTGTCCACGCCCCAATTAACTCGCCTTCCACTAGTCACTATTGTGCCCATCGTGTGACTTTACAGGTGGGTTGCCACTGCATACTCTCTCCTGTTTGTCACGTGATCCTCAGCAACCATCATCAGTCTGTCTCTAGTCTGAGAGAAGCAATTTCATGATAAAATCTTAAGTAACAAATGAAATTAATTGATACTAATTGAAATTCATTTTTATTAATATGATTTGCAAAATACTTTAATCATTAATTAAACCTTTACTTGGAATGTGAGCTGCTAAAAACCTATCTGTGACCCAAAAAAGTTGAGCCTATTTTAATTTTGTCCCCTACCTACTGCCAAGTTGTGCAGATCTGATCTATGCCGATCTAAAGATCAAACCCAGACGTTACTTTTCAAAAACGTAAAGTTAAAAAAAACTCAAAACAAATTCCTAACATCAAATGTTCTTTTAATGATTTAACTTTTTTTCATCGAATCTTACCACTTGCAAAAACCTTGGAGGTTATTTACATATTTAGTCTACCAGTATACCTTACTTCTAAATGTAGAGAGGAAAATAATGTTAAAGATTCAAGTTGGTCAAGATTTTGCTATACTGAGGTTTATTCCACAGAATTTCACAAAAGATATTACGGATTTTTTAATATAAGGTTGTGTTTGAAATTTATACCTCATCCAAAGTGAAACATCTCTATAAAGCATATATTAGGTTTTGTTTTGGAAGAATACTTTTGAAACATCAATACAATATTTTACTACAGTACACAGTACCTCTTCTTCTCTCTCTAGGGAATTCTTAGAAAAATCCATTGAATTGCTTGATTAAACTTATCAATTAAATTCTTACAAACACTATGAAATATTACTAATCATCTTCTTAACTATACTTAAAAAAAAACTGCACTTGGATTTTTAAAGCAAGATATCAATGCAAACAATGGAAATCATTCCAAGAGCTTCATATAGCATTAGCCACTATTTGGTTTTAGGGTATCTGCTTTTACATCAGTTTTCCTTAATTTTCACAGAAATGACAAATGTATTTTTAAAGAAGGTGGAACAAGATTCCCTATGTCCTCAATGTTTACAATCACAACTGAAGTGTTACCTGTAAGTAAGTTTTAATATATAACATAACTTAAACTCTATGATTCTTTTCAAACTCTCTGATTGGGTCAAGAAAGGAAACTGTGTGTCTAAACAAGCTAGATTACCCTTCTAGGAACTTTAAATAGCTGGATAAAATGTCAACAGTTTAATAATTCATAAATAGGGTCACACAGATAAGGGAGCCAGAAGAAAAAGAATCAAACCAGAGAGGGAACTAGCAATTCCGTTTGAACTTGAAGATAAGGGAAATGGAGAGGAATGTGTTCCATTCCCCCTTTCCTCCTTCCCCGAATGGCTATGTTGGAGAGACTGGACAAGTAGGAGAGAATGAATCCATTTGGGAGCAGAGAAAGTACACTGAGGACAGAGAGATGTGGAGAAATAGTCACCACCCAAGAGAGGAAGCAGCTTCAAGGAATATAACCCCCTAGTGGCAGAGAGAAGCACCAACTATGGGTTGAAAAAAGTAAATCTTAGGAGTTCAAATTAGTTATTAATCCCACCTCTATCCCATATACATATGCCTCACTATCAGTAAACTAAATTTGAGTCCACTCACTTGTTGAGTCCATGGATGTGTGTATTTGTGAAAATGTGCACCCTAAACTTTTAAGAGGAATGTTCTAACTATACCACCTTAATAAATGCTGTTGCTAACAAAGCTGATTAAGTTTACTGACTTGTTAACTGAAAGGGCTCTCTGGTAGGTGCTTGTGAACTAAGGTGATAGGAATTATACCCACAGCACAAGCAGTAAAAGCCACCCTTTTGTGACCCAACTTTTGAATGCAAGTAGGGGGAGTGGTCTCACAGGAGTGTTAAATATAAATGACTTTCCAATCAGAAGAATGAAGTTTAAATCCTAGCTCTGCTCCTTTTGGTTAAGTTATTTAACCTCTCTAAACTTGTTTTCTCACCTGTAAAATGAGGGGTGAAATATTTTTTTAAAATGAAAAATAAACCCCCCCCGCCAAGAAAAAAAAAGAGGGAAAGGACCCCCTATTCAATAAATTCTAGTAGCTCCCTAAGACCTCCAAGATCAAAGAATCATTTGCTTGTTGTTCAGAGCGTTTCACAGCCTAGCCCCTTTCCATCTTTGCAGTCTTCTTACACTTTGTGTGCTTGCCTGCCACCCCCCTCACCTACCATCATGTACTCTGCCATATAGTAACAATAGCCTCCTCATTTCATCTCTCCTTTTTGCTGACGGTCCTTCCTCATCTCCCTTTCCCGACTTCCTTCAAGTCCCAGCTAAAATCCTACATTCTAAAGGAAACTTTGCTCAATTTCTCTAAATTCTAGTACCTCTCTCCACTGGTTATTTCTTAATTCATCCTGCATGTAACTTATTTGTACATAATTGTTTATATGTTGTCTCCCTCTTTGGATTGTGAACTCTTTGAGGGCAGGGAATGTTTTTTGCCTTTATTTGTATCCCTAGTGCTTGGTGTGGTGCCTGGCACATAACAGGCTCTTTATAAATGCTTATTGACTAATATGTGCAAAAAAAAAGTATGCACTTCTTTTTGTGGTGTCAAAGAACTTAAACTAAGGGAGTACCCGTTAATTAGGCAGTGCTGAAGAAATTTTTTTTGATGAGATAATTGGAGTTAAGTGACTTGCCCAGGGTCATACAGCTAGTGATACCATGTGTCTAAGGCCAAATTTGAACTCAGGTCCTCCTGACTTTAGGGCCGGTGCTCTATCCACCGCACCACCTCCCTGCCCCTAGGAAATTAAGATATATGAATGTAATGGATGTACCATAGTATTGTGTATTATGGATACCTGTGTCGTGTCCCTTAATTAGACTGATCATGACTCTAAAGTTTACATACCCCCAAGACCTAGCACAAGGCCCTTTATACATAATAGGTGATTAATAAAAGATTACAATATTGAACTGTTATGCTTTTCTTCTTACTTGTCATTGGCCAAAGAATAGAAGCGCTTGTTCACACAGCCAATACACAAAAGGGTAACAGCATCCAAGTAAGAAAATATCTTCAGTAGGATCTCAGAGGGCATACTGAGGAAAAAGTAGAGAGGAAAAAAATGTAAGTTTTTATCTGCAAATTAGTTTTCTCTGCCAAAAAATTAAGAACAGTAATAGTTCCCACCAACTGTAAATGAATGCAAAATTCAAGGAGAGAGGGAGGCAGCAAACATTTATCAAGAGCCTACTACGTGCCAAACATTAGGCTGAAGGCTTTACAAATATGATCTCATTTGATCCTCACAATAACCTTGGGAGGTAGATGTTATTATTACCCTTATTTTATAGTTGATCAAACAGATAGAAGTTAAGTAATTTACCCAGGGTTACAGAGGCAGTAATGGACAGCTAGGTGGTGAAGAGGACAGAGCACTAGCCCTGGAGTAAGGAGGACCTGAGTTGAAATTTGGTCTCAAGCAGTTACTAGCTATGTGATCCTGGGCAAGTCACTTAACCTGTTTGCCTCAGTTTTTTCATCTCTAAATGAGCTGAAGAAAGAAATGGCAAATCATACCATTATCCTTGCCAAGCAAACCCCAAATGGGGTCATAGAGAATTGGACTCAACTATAACATACAGCTAGTGTCTAAGGTCAAATCTGAACTCAGGTCTTCCTGACTTCAAGCCCAGTGCTCTATCCACTATACCAACTAGCTGCTTTTAAGGTAATTTGTATCATTACCCTTTCTTGTTTTATTAGAAAGAAAAAATTCTTTCCTCATGAACTTTTCAATAATCCAATAAAGTGACCCAAAAGCATAACAAAAAAACTAGTTGTGTTTCTCACAAACGAAACTCCAACTTTTATTTCCAGGCCTTTGCAGAAACTCTCCCCATGTACTTCTTCCTTTCTTCTTCCTCTTAAAACCTCTCATTTCCTTCAAAGTTCAGCTCAAGTATCATCTTCCCCATGAGGCCTTTCCCAACTCCTCCCCCAGACATTTATATCTTCTCCCAAGAAAATCATCTTGTATTTAAACATTTATTTTGTACAAATGTATGTCTATACATGTTGTCTCCCCTAATTTACTACTTAAAGGCAAAGACAATTTCACTTTTTTCTTTTAATTCCCAGAATTTAGCACAGTGTCAAGCATACAGTAGGTTCTTCATAAATCTCCACTTACTGGGTTTGGCCCTTTTAATCAGTACAGTTTAGTAACTATATCTCAGAGGACTTCAGAGACTCTCACAAGAAGGTTACTATTGGTCTATATTAGGACTCATGGGATCATAAACTGGAAAACACATCCTTTACTAATATGAAGAAGAATATTTTTAAAGCCTACCAGAAAATGATTTAGTATTTCCCAATTTATTTGAAATCACACTAGTTACAATTAGAGATCACAGACTTACCATTTGACCATCCTTACCTTTCCCACATTCATCCATTTTTAATTCAGTCCTCCTCAAGAGTAACCACCAAATCTTTCAGATGACTTTCTTGGTACTTCAAGGTGAAATCAGGTTCCTACAAGGTTTTCTGAAGGGTTTAAGCATTCACTTGACTAAGGGAAATTGTTGGGCCTAATCCTCTCCCCAGGTCCCTTCCAGATAGATAGATCCTAGGATTCTATGAAACATTACAATTGTATGACAGCCTGTGGGGAGTTCCTGACATTGAGGGCCATAGAAACAGGTTCAGCAAACCTTAAACAGAAGGATAAGTACAAAGTGGAAAACACAAAACTACCAGATAATACAAACTCTGACCAACATAAAAGGATTACCCCAATCACACAACCACCTCCCTATGGTGATTCAAATGGAGAAAATGTGTTTTCCTAAACCTTAATTATGAAAAAATACTGATCAACTATCTTACAGGAATCTGCTAGTCTATGGTTTTGTTTTGCTTTTTTTTTTTTAAAGGATAGGCACAGAATATACAATTAATGCAGGATATGTTTTCACAAAACATCTGAGACAGAAAGAACCACAGAAGCCACTGACAGGGAATTTTCTCTTGTGAAAAGTATTACTTCTTTGTCTTAAGTTTCCAAAGAATGCTGCTGATTGGCCGTGTATTCTCAGGAGGCCTAGAAAGTTATAAAAATCTAAAATATAAAAATCTGTGCATTAGGAGATTGTTGCTGCAATCAGCTGCTGATTTCACAAGAAAAGGCGGGGGAATCAATCAAGATAGAAAAGTGGGACTTCTGGAGCAATATCTATTATGCAGCTGGCCGGGTTTGTTGTCAGGATAGGAAGATATTTACTCCCTGTTCCAGGGAAGAAGACAAGAAAAAGTAACCAAATACTTTTACAGTTGTAAAAGAAGTCCTTTTAGACAAAACCTCAGGAATGAGGTAACCATTTACATAAGACTGTAGGTGTCTCTTGTCCAAGGACAACAAATAATTAAAGCAGTGGATGATAGTAACCACTTTATAGTTATACCAACAACTTTATTTCTCCTTACTTTCCACTATTATGCCAACAGGTAGTTGGGGAATTTCTACAGTTAGTCGATACAGCTGTCATGATTGATTGTGGTTCCTATTTCCTCCCCACTCTCGTCCTACTCATAACTGCATTAGTACTATCATCTGTCCCAAAATTTTCAAAGGCTCTTTACTGACTATGGAGGAAAGTTAAAAATTCTTTTCCCTGGGATTCAAGACCCACAATAACCTAAAACCATGCTAAGTTGTTCCCCTCAAGATCTATACTCTAGCCAAAATGAACATACCACTATTCTTGGAACATATCCTATACTTTACTACCTTTATCCCTTTGCTCATTTTGTTTGCTAAGAATGACATGTAGGTGATCTGGGATGTCAAAGGTTAAGCCAATAAAGGACAAGGTCTGGCAAGCTCTGCCACCTAGATGCTCTGCCAAGTAACAGTCTGGTAGCAGGTTAGATACCTGTCATCCAAGAACCAACTTAGCTAAAAATTCACTGATGCCCATCACTAGGTTGAACAGTGTGATGGATTTTTCAACCACTACAACTCTCAGAGTTCCACATGAAAACCACATTTCCTTGAAGTACTGAAACATTTTTTTAATGTGCACTAGAATAAGGCCTCCTGTTTAATAACAAATAAAGGTAGAAAAGCATCTATATATTTTATTATTGTTGCTGACCTGTAATTTATTTCATTTCTACAGGAACTGGTAGTGAGGAAAATCCCTCTATCAATGTATATCAGCAACTGTTTGGCAATTTATATTACCAGAGGGTCATCTGGTGCCTTGATTTGCCCAGTCACATAACCAGTATGTGCCAGAGGCAGGACTTATATTGAGGTCTTCCTCAAGGTTCTAAGTACCTCCCACTGAGCCAAAATACTATTTACTTTGTACAGATTTATATGTGAGCATGTTGTTTTAACACCAATAAAACAGAAGCTCCTTGAAGTCAAGGACCATTTCGTTTTTGTTCTTGTAATCCCAGAACCTAGCACAGTGCTTGCCATATAGTAGACATCTAGCAATGTATCTGTTGACTGACAGATTGCTGACTCCAGAACCCACTCTATTCACTATATGTCAATTTACTCTCATCAGTGAGTTAACAACTATTATTGCTGTTATATTTATTTTCTTTTTTTTCGGCTAGGCAATGGGGTTAAGTGACTTGCTCAGTGTCACGCAGCTAGTAAATGTCATGTGCCTGAGGCTGGATTTGAACTCAGGTCCTCCTGAATCCAGGGCCGGTGCTCTATTCACCACGCCACTTAGCTGCCCCAATTATTGCTGTTATAGAATAAACCTTCTGTCTTAGCTTTTAAAAAAGATTCACTTTCCTTAGAAATTGTTTAAACTTTCATTAGATTGAGCCTTGATGACTAGAGAAAGTAAACTTCATTCTCTTCCTGCAAGAAACTTCAGGGACACTGAATGACAAGAAATACTTTCCATGACTGTAGGAAAGATATGTGTGTATTTATATACACAATATAAATATATCAACATATATGTATATATGCACCATATGTACATATACACATAAAATGCACATTTAACTTATCAATTATTTCAACAGAACTGTGATTTCAGCTTATTGACTGAGTTTATCCCAACCACACTTTCTTATTCTATGCAATTCTGGTCTACGTCCTTGCATGAATTCTGCATAAATGACATATCCAACACACATCTAGCCATCCCTTCCTCTAGGTCTTTTAAAATTCTATAGGTACCAGTGCAGCCCTGGCTATTCATCAGTGTTGTCCCTCAATCTCTGAAATTATTTTGTATGTTCCTATTTACATATGGTCTTCCCATTAGCAATATAAACTCTGTAAAGGCAGAGACTCAGTTTTGTTTTGGTTTTTTTTATCCTTAGTATTTAGCATGCTGCCTGAAACACAAACATTTGATAAACTGATTTGTTATACATTTCCTGGATGCTACTTATTATGCCATTTCTTGTACCTAAATCTTCACTGGTAACATGCTACAAGATTGCTTATGACCACAGTGTGTATGTCCATCACCATTTGGCTCACATACTATTCTGATGTTTTGGAATCTACGGTGTTCCATGTATTTAGCACTGACAAAAGAGTACAGTTAAAAAGATACGGCTTTGCATCAGGAAGTACCTTGAGATTAATGAAAACTGCTACAATATTTCTCATATGCAATTGTGCCCACTCGATTGTTATTCAATCTTTGTTCCTGTTCATTGTTCATTTACAGTCATTGTCTAACAGGGAAAGGAACAGACAGAATAAGCATTTATATAGTGTTACTACATGCCAGGCACTGTTCTCAGCATTTTACAAATCTTCTCTCATTTAATCAATTCTATCAAAGACAGATGTATTTGTAGACAAACACATAGGATTCCCTAACCAATTGCATATTATAACCAGAACAATTTAATTTTTTGTTGTTTTTTTCTCCCTTTGTGGATGGTTCAACTCAGTTGAATGGTTATAAATTTCAGTGAAGAGGCCCTATTGTATTGTGTGGCTTCAAACATTGTGGTGGCATTATTTTCAAACAACTGATACATTCTTCTCATTGGTACATATGATACATTGAGATATCATATAAATTAACCCTCAATACTTAATTGTGTCATCTATAGTACAAACTTCTTCTGTATGTAATTGGTCTGGACCAACAGCTCTTATCAACTTTATCCTCCTAAGTGTCATTTCCATTTCTCAAACAGTACATAAGTTTCAAATTCACCTGTGGTAATTCCACTGCTGTCTAAGTGACTACAGAAATGCTGACAAATCTGTTACATTTTCCATCTGTTTGTTCTCTCCCTCCAAGTTTAATCTGAAAATGTTCTTTGGATAGTGTGGCTTAGTTGGATCTAACACCAAACTTCCTGCAAATTTATTTCCCCTCCACTGTTCTTCATTATTTTGTGAGATGATATTCACAATCTTGCACTATTCTCCATAATATTTTGCAAATGACTTCAGACTACAAACTTGTTTTGCCTTTGGCTAAGATGTCTCTGCTTGGTAAAATAAGTATTTGCTCGCTGTAGTAGTTTGTGGGTTCTTTCAGTATCCTAAAGCAACTAGATGTCTTGCAGTAATATTGTAACTCAATTTTTCTAGTAGTATACGATCTCATTTGTTGACATATCAAAAGAACCAACAATTAATTAAACATTTATAGTTTTTATAATGAGTTCCTCTTAGTGCTCTCCTCTTCTCCCTTTTCTAACATTAGAAAAACAAAAAAGGCGTGAACAGGACTGATCATTTTTCTTCATTCTGACTTGCCAAGGCCAATTTCATTACCTAGTGAGTCTATTAATGATAAATATCGCCATACTTATGGAGGTACTGGTACTCAAACAGAGCGTTCTCATTTTAATACAAACTATAAGACCTTAAATTCCACTAGCATAGCCTTCAAGATTTCAGGATCACTTCAAAGAAGCACAGAAGTCTCTTTAGGAAATACTGAATACTTTTAATTTTCTTTTTATATATATCAATATAATTCAAAGAAGTTTGGAAGTTAATCTGAAACAAAGAAAACTCTTCAAAAAAGAAGTAAATAGAATTACTTAGTACCATCACTAAATAACTTTAAGTACAATTCAGTAGAAAATCCTTATATAACACATCTCATAAGACACAGATCATTAGCTTTATAAAAAAAGTTCTAATGTATTTACTTTTTCTGGGTAATTTAATAATTTTATTAATAAGGCCAGCATGTTTATTAATAAAAGGATGGTTATTTGGCCATCTCTCTTAGACCAAAGAACACTCATGGTGGTGGGTTCACAGTTTATATGCCCTTTGACAAGAAGGTGTTTCTGAAGGTGGCAATCAACTCTGATTAGCTAACAATTAAAGAGAGAATGAATATTACAATGAAAGGGTGAACAATATTACAATGAAGTCTTGGGTACATGACTTGGGTCACCCAGATCTTGGTCAAAGAGACTTATCAATTTCCATATCATCTATCTAACAAAAAGGACAATCAACACTTACCAGACCTGTCTGAGCAAACACAGTGAGCAAGAATGTACCCGGTTAGCCCAAACTTAGAATTTCTTTTACTTTCTTTGATTACATTTCAGCCATCCCGGCTGGGTAAATGTTTTGGAAAAAATTTTCCACATTGGTTGATTTCTGGATAAGGAAGTAGAAAAGGGGACAACCTTGATCCTGGTACAATAATTAATTATTAAATACAAGAGAGAGATAATCATTTCTCACTTACCCCCATTTGATTCTATTGAGAAACAAAGTCTCCTCAATAAATCACTAACTGATATTACAAACACTTTATCAAGGGTTCTTAACTATGGAGCTTGTAAGTGGAAACAATGTAAGTGGAAAGGAGAAAAACTGAAGGGGGCCATCCCCTTTGGTAAGCAGACCTTACAGATAAAAGTCGAAAAAGGTAGAAAAGTGAACAGTAAAATAAAAGTCTGGTCCCTTTGGGTCTTTGGAAACATCAGATGCAACTCTCTGGTTTGTGTGTGGTCTCAAAGCAGTTCTTCTCTGGTACAGGTCACTTGTAAAGATGTTCTTCTCCGCTACAAATTTCCTACAAAATTGGTCTTAACACAATTTTTATTGTAATCAGGTCAAATAATGAAAGTTAGCTCAAACTTTGTTTCTCTATTATTAGAAAATCAAATTTGGAACCTTTTTAGACCAGGGAATTTACATTTTTAGGTTAACTAACTGTCGTGTGTATATGTATATAAAAACATACATATACACATATATGTACAGATGTATATATAGACATAAATATATATATACGAAACTCAGATACAAACAGAAAATTAGAGCCCAATTTGTATACTTAGCATTACTCACTCCTCCATTAGGAAGATGAGATTCCACTAAAGAATTAATAACAGAACGCTTTTTATAAGATGAACTCTAATAAAAAATTAATTCATTTAAAAGTTACCAAATATTGCTCTATATTGAATCCTCTCTGATGTTCTGCTATGTGCATGGCAATGTTTTTTTTTCTTTTCTTATTTTGTATTTAAGTTTAAAATAAATTTTAAAACTAAAATAAAAAATAAATTACCAGATGAACTTCAGTTGTAACAAAAGGTTCTGGGATGGAATGCATAAATACAATGAATAATCAATTTCAAACAAGTAAGTTTGAGCATATCAAGTAAGTTATTTATAATAAAACATTTTCAACTTGTACCCACATTCAAAGGAATAACCCCTACTAAAAATGATCTCTTTTAAGTCATTTACATGATAGACCACAAGACATTCTTCTCTTGGGATAACTGTAACTGTGTGCTGCTACTCTTTTCCCTAACACAGAACTGAGCAGTTATGATATTAACTTCACTAAATAACAGAATTCTATCCTAGTTTCACAAATGTTTGCATCGTTCTTAATTATGCCCATCCCATTAAGTGAAATTAAATGACCTTAACTTACACAGTAATATACAACTAGTAACAGGTATCAAGGCTAAATACCTAATTAGTTATTTGGAATATAGAAAGGACTAAAATTCGGGACCAAATAGCTCAGATCTTATACCTGCATCTCACTACAGTAACTCAGATATAGTTCAGCATTAACCTAAAAACCTAAAAGGTAAAGATCTAATATTGTTTTCATACTGATCATGGTAATGTATTACAAGGGGGACTACTGACCACAAATCTAAAAGTAGCTTAGAACCAAAAAGAATAGAACAAAGAGAGATTCAGTTAGCACAGAAGTCAATAATGCAAACCAGAAAGTGACTACTACTTTTTTGTATTTTACCTAGTTGTCAAAACAGGCAGGAATGAGGAAGGAGAGAAGGAATCAAACATGAAATGCCATAATGGACAATAATTATACCAATCATGTGTCATTTCCAAATAAAGTTAAAAAAAGAAAGCCTTCACAAGACATTAATAAGTCTCCAAAGAGGCTGCTTCTAATTGCCTTCCATTAAGTTTCTATGAAGTTTATTCATTAAAGCAGGTAGGTGATACAGTGGATGGAGTGCTAGGCCTAGAGTCAGGAATCCCTGAATTTAAATCTAGTTTCAGATGCTTACTGTATGACCCTGGGAAAGTCACTTAACCTCTGCGTTCCTCAACTAACTCAACTGTAAAGTGACGATAATATCAGAATCTACTTCCTAGGGTTGCTGTAAGATCAAAGGAGTTAATATTTGTAAAGTGATTAACACAGTGCCTTGCACGTAGTAGGTGCTTTAAAAATGCTTTTTCCCTTCCCTCACCTTTCATTCAATACTTCATATCAACAATGTGTTACACTCTTAGGTTAATTATTTCATATGGTGGGGTAGAAGAGAAATGGAAGGAAAAGGTCACTGCATTTACAAAAGAAGTTTAAATAATATAGTAAGCAAAATCTGTTCTTCACCAAAAAAGGAAAACTTAAAAGTTCATATTTTTAAATACTTACAGAAAAACTGCCTATAGAAATGCCCTCCACTTCCTTCCTTAACATATATTATTATATAGCTATTCAAAAACCTATCACAAAAAATACTATCTCCTGAATTTCTCCAATGTTTAGGTTTAAGTACAAAATTGAAGTCCTTAGGTTTTCTTCTCTGGCATCCAATTATTTTTCAAATTCATATTGGAAAATTGTACACTGCTTCCTGACATCTCACAGAGTATTTTATCTGATCACAAAGAGGAAATCTCCTATAATCCTAAACTTGCTGTTGAAGCACAAGTTCTAAAGGGAAGATGATCTTCCAAACCATCTAACATCAGATAATTCAAGAGAATACTCTGCTTTCAAAGCAAAAAAATCTGCTCTCTCTCCCCCCACTTTCCGCTGGTCTCTACTCAGAAGACAGAATAAATGTTAAAGGCACTTTAACAACAGGAAAATTAAATTTACTTGCTACTTTTAAAGATTTAGTTTCAGAAAACTAGTCTAAATGATAATGATGACAGGCTGATGACTCACATCAACCCCTCTGTACTGTACATTCATCCTACACCCCTCTGTCTATTTTTAAAGAACTCAAAGCCAAAATAGCAATTTGATATATACAGTATCATACCCCCCCCCCAAATCTCCTTTCCTCCTAAAAGGAATGGCAATCAAAATGACAGACTACTTCTGTTACTTACCCTTCTATGTGCATAGAAAGTTTTGCGGATGACTTCGTACAATGTCTTTCACACATGGTAGACTGCTCTGAAGACTTAGGATTAAGCATGACATCTGATCCCTTACTGAAAATAATCAGGAAGAAATTAAAGTTATATAATTACCAATTGGAGACTGCAAATGCATCCAAAAATGAAAAGAAAAGGAAATAAATGAAAAGGCAATATATGAAGTATAGTAAAAAAAAAAATATTCCAATAGGACTAAGAATCCATGGCCCCAAAATTTACTATTGGGGTGACACTGGGACAAGTTAAATCACCTTTCTGAGCCCAAGTATCCTCATCTGCAAAATATCTGCCATGGGATTGACAGAAAACTCAAATAGGATGGTGTACTATACATTAAGATCTTAGTAATTATAAAGTACTATGTAAGCTCTTATAATATTAACTTGAAGGACTCAAACTAGAATGTCCCTCATATAACTATATTGTAGCTAAGAAGCCTATGAAATGTTGTCTTCTAAGATGAGTAAATAATAGAATAAAGTCTATTCTCACATTTCTGTTCTCATCTTGAGAGATGAACAACTGCTTATTCAGGGCTCTTAATACAACAAACGGATGATTTTTCTGTTTTTAAGATACCTTGGGGGAGAGGGGTTAAGCAATCCTTCTCACTTACTCATTTTAAAAAAACTGCCAGAGGACAACTAACAAACCTAGCAGTTTGATATCATCAAGGAAATTATGCTAGATTTGGAGAAAGATTGACCTAACATGACGTAACATAACATGGCATGATGCGAGTTCGGATATAAAATCCTTGAGGGCAGGGAATGATTTATTTTTCTATTTCCAGTATCTAGTATAGTCTCTGGTATATAGTCAGTCTTTTAAAAATACTTGCTGAATGGCTAATATGAAATAAGTTTTACTTGATTTCACAGGTATAATTGATATAATGCCTTCTCAAGGGGTGGGAGAGGGGCAGGAGGGAAAGAGAATTTGGAACTCAAAATTTTTTAAACCAATGTTAAAAATGTTTTATATGTAACTGGGAATACTTAATGAAATAAATGAAAATGTATTTTTAAAAATACTTGTTGATTGAATCGAGAGAAACCTGGGTTCAAATCCCTACTCTAACCCTATCTATGACACTACAGACAAGTGAATCACCTTTTTCATCTGTAAAATGCAAGTAATTATATAGGATTACTTTCCTATTTGGGGCTACTATGAAGAAAGCAATTGGTAAATCTTCAAGAGCTACCAAAATTGTTAACTATAAAAATAAAGCACCAAATTGGAAACATGTCAGTATGTTTTTATTCACCGTTGTCTACTAATCTCTGATGGACACTGACCAGTTCCAACTCTAGCTATAACAATTATATGATGGCAGAAGAATAAGTAATTATTTTAAAACTAACCAATATTTACCTGTATGTGATGAAAAATAAAACAGCAACCTTACTTTTTACCTACTTTTTCACTTTTAGGGAATCTCCCAGAAAAATACAAATCTAGACCTCTCTAATTCATATATAATTTTACCACATGGCCCCTGGAATTCACTAGAGTGAATTGAGAGTTATATAAATACATATTTTTACATAATTGTTGTTTCTCTTTTGTAAAAGAAACAGTGTACTTACGATAAAGAAAGAATAAAGGGCCTAAACAATAGTGAGTATTTCTAAAATGGAACTAAAATGAATGAAGTCATCCATGCATGATAGCATTCTCAAACACTTGTAAACTACACAAAAGAACAGAAAAGTTTAATAAGAACTAAATATTCCCACTCCTCTTTTAATAACATTTCAATTTAATGATATTTCACATATGAATTTCTTTTACAGTTTTTACAAAGCACCTTCCTCACAACAACCTCGTGAGGAAAGTATTACAGGTATCTACTCCCAATTCAAAATTACACAATGGAGACTTGCTCAAAGTCATCTGAAAAGTAAGTAGCAAAACTGGGACTCAAATCCAACTCCTTTTCAAATCCAATGATCTTTTTACACGTAGTTGAATTCTAGGGCTAAAAAAAAAAAAAAGCACAGATGATCTTGTCTAGCCCCTTCATTTAAAAAAAAATGGACCAAGAAAAATAATTTGCGAAAGATAAGTTAACTAGCTGCAAAGCCAGTACTAAAATCAGTGTCTCTTGATTCCTAGATTATTCCCAGCATATCATCCTTTCCTAACTGTTCAAGTACCTTTAAAAACAAGCATCTCCAACTGCACAACATTTATTAACCCTCTATTTCGAGAGCTAGCCAATTAACAATACGGCAGGTTCTGTACACCTTCTAAATGCGTGTGTCCATATAGCTAACAAGGCTAAGATGTTCATTTGATTCCTGGACACTATTAAAGCCTATTTGCTATCCAAAATGAAAATTTTAGTTGAAGGAAAAAGTAAGTCACTTATTGATTGAGTCCTAGTTCTCAAATTATCACTATACCAAAATGAACTACACCAAGTATGAAAAAAATTTTTTGATAATTTTTCTATATTTCTTCTCTATTTCAGAAATTTTAGGCATTATGAAATTTGTGGATTCCATAAGTACACCCTTTTTTTAAAACAGAGAATCATGCATTCCTTACTAATATCTAATTTTCCTGTTTTATCTTGAGAAGTTAACAATTGCCAATTGTTTGGACAATAATCAGTCAACAAAATGATTCTTAGTAAATGTCTTTCCTTTACCAATGAATCCACAAATTACGGATTATACTCAAGCTTCCTGCGCCTAACATAATAAAAGGCACTCTAATCATATCATGTTGTCACTAAGTTCACTCAATGTAAAAAGTAGCGAAAGGCTGAAGATATAAAAATCTTTCTGTTCTCCCCTATAAAGAGGGCACAAAAAAGTCTAATTTCAGTAACAGTGACAAACTAATTTAAAATTCACATTTCCTATTTGAGTGCCAGGGTATTTTTCTACTAAACAAGTTATTAGTGGCCTTCTCAACATGTTATTTGTCAAAGAGTTTGTGGTATTTGTAATTCCTGAGTTGATAACTGTGCTAAGAACTCAGAATAATTTTACTATCTGTGAACTAGAAAATATGGGTGCAACATAATACCCCATTATCCTGTGAAGATCTGTTGACCCAATGGGAAAGACAAGTCATTAGTATGCCAGTTAAAGACAAGACAGATATTACCTAAGAAGAGTACTCTAATTGTAATTTTACTTCAAAAGGCACTCAGATTCAAAGGCCACGTCTGCCAAGTGAGAGCTATCCTTTTCAGTGTGGAAAAAGTCTTCACTTAGGTCACCTAGAACAGTTGTAAGAGCTTACTTTGGTTACACACTACCCTGTCTTCTTTCTTTTCCAACTCTCTCAAATACATATCCCCAGGGAAACACAGGAAGCTTCAAAAATAAATAAGACCAAAGAAATGGAACTGAAGGGGCAAAAATAGAAGTCCTAAAGGCAAAGAGAGATATACTCCTGTAACAGATCATGCAGAACTGGCATACTGTAATAATCAAAATCATCACAATAAAAAAAATTTATTTGGTGCCTGCCTGTGTTCCAGCAAGTATGCTAAGCTCTTTGCAAACATTAAGTCATTGTTTCCTTGCAAAAATCCTAGGAGGTATAAGCTATTATTATCCCCATTCCATTTTACAGTTGTAGAAACTGAGGCAAACTAAGGTTATGTGATTTGCCCAAGGCCATAAATTCAGTGTCAAAAGCAGGATTTGAACCTGGATCTTCCTGATTCCAGGCCCAGCACTCTATCCACTGCACCACCTAGCTGCTTCTAATCAGAGATAATTCTGTACCAAAAGGGTGTTGAAGTCATATAACAATTCCCCAAAGTATTTGGAATTTGTGAGAGATAGCTCTACTTGATTAGACTAAAAAGCTACCAATGGTAACAGTCTGACATAGTAGAACCAACACTGTATATATCTGGAATCAGGGGATATGGGTTCTAATCCTAATCTATACTTTTATTAACTCTGTGATTCCAGAGCAAATCTTTCAACCTCTCAGTTTCAGTAATGATAAAAACAGGGATAAATAACATTTGTACTAGTTCTCTTACTCAGTTATCGTAAAAAGCAAATGAAAACATAAGTAAATCAATCAAGCAGTTATTAAGCACCTAGTATGTTCTCAGGCACTGTGCTAGGTATTAGGCATACAAAGACAAAAACAAAATAGTCTGTGCCCTCAAGTGCTAACAAAGTATTGGGAGAGACCACACGTGCACATAAACATATACAAAATAATAAAGCAATTTCAGGAGAAGGCACAAACAGTGGGAGAAATGAGCAAAGTATACTCTGAATGTGCACTGTTAACAATTTTACATGGCATGTATATATATTATGTTATAGATATGGTCAATGTCATATGCATTTCCATCATTTATCTACACTGTCCAAGGTTAACTATGCTAAATCCCATGGCTTTTTCTCCATCCTTATCCTTCTTGACTTCTCTGCAGTATCTGACACTGGACTACCCCTAGATACTCTTCTCTGCTTTCTCCTTTCTCACCGTTCCTTCCGAGTTTTCTTTGCTGAACCATGACCCATTACCCTGCTCCTTCCCATGTCTGCACCCAGCGAGCTCTCCTAAGCCCTCTTCTCTCCTTTGCACACTTCTTCAGTGATCTCATCACTATCCTCTTCTCAGTGTTGAGATCCATCCTGCAATAATCAACTGCCTGTTAAGACATCTAGATATGACCACCTAGTTATCCCATAAGAAACAAAAATCCCTGCACTCAAACAGCAAGCATTCTAGTCCGGGTAGGGGGACCATGTATATAGAACATTACCAAGTTATTTCTAGGGAGATAAGGATGGCAACTGGGGTTGAGGGAGAATCAACACAGAGTATCTTATAAAAGGTGACTCTCAAACTGAGCTTTGAAGGATGCCAAGGACTCTATGAGGCAGAAATGATAAGGCAGTACATTCCAGGTATGGGGAATTCACAAATTTGCAAACAAAGAGGCAGGAGAAGCAACACCATATTTTTTAAAAGCAAACAGGCCAGTCTGACTAGACTGCAGACCTCAGAAAGAGGAGTAATATGCTATAAACATGGAAAAGTAGTCTGGAACCAGACTGTGAAGGGCTTTAAAAACCAAAGAGCAGAGGAGCTAAATGATCCCCCTTCTTCAATATGTCCTCCCTATTACAACTGCTATATGGTTTTCTATCTGCTGCCTCTATAGCTTTGCAAAAACTATCCCATATGCCTAGAATGCTCTCTCTCCCCTCACCTCTGTCTCTTGGAATCTCTACCTTCCTTAAAGGCTTCTGAACTCAGCTGTCACCTCTTAGACAAGGCTTTCCCTGGTGGCCCAAGTTGTTGGTGTTCTCCTCTTCCTTCTCTCCCAAGGAAATTATTTTGCATGTATTTTGTTTCAGCTCCAGTGGAATATAAATGTCTTGAGAGCAGAGAATGTTAGGTTTCTGTCTTCATATTTTCCACGTTTTTCTCTGTCTTCACATTCTCCCAGAGCCAAACGTAGATAGCATAAGGAAGGCGCTTAATGTTTGTTGAATTGAATTAATGTCATCTATTAAATAAGTCTTCTTTTGCTCTGCATATTACGAATCATAGAAGGATTTGGATGGGTATATTTCAGACCCAACCCTCCCCCAGATTTCAGTAACACAAGTCAAAAGAAGACAGGGAGAAGTCCCAAGTTCCTTCTCAGCCTAGACCCATTTCATATTTGGTATTAGAAGCAAGCACAAATAGTACAGAATTTATTTCAGAGAACAGACTTTGGGCAACAGTTTCCTTTTAGACAGTCACCAGCTTAAGCTTCCCTGGAGTCTGACTGATGCTGAGCAACACAGGTTGCCTCACTGACAGATTTCTGGTAGCCAGGGTCTCTCTCCCTCTAAGTCCAGTCATGTGGAGATGGTGAAATTCCTTGGGCCTTACTGGAGTTTTCCATTAAATAAAAAGTATGATATTTCTTCAAGTTTCCTCCAGAATTCTCCAAGAGTTCAGCAAGTGATTTGAAAATGCTGGAAGAATAAAAAGACACTAGCCAGAGGGCCTTAACCTGGGGCCTGTAAACTTGTTTTAGTTGATGTTGTTTTGGGGCAATTGTATACCAATATAATTGTTTTCCTTTGTAAACCTATGTATTTTATTTTTATGCATTTAAAAACAATAATAAGGCTATAATACTGTATGTACCCTTTGACCCAATAATACCATCACTACTAGGTCTGTATTTCCAAAAGAGCAAAGAAAAAGGGAAAAGACCTACATGTACAAAAATATTTATAGCAGCTCTTTTTATGGTGGCAAAGAATTGGAAACTGAGAGGATGCCTGGCAATTGTGGAATGGCTGAACAAGCTGTGGTACATGATTGTAGCAGAAGATTTTTATGCTATAAGAAATGACTAACACAATGGTTTCAGAAAAATCTGGGAACATTTATATGAATTGATGCAAAATGAAATGAGCAGAACCAGAACAACACTGTATACAGCAACAGCAATATAACGATGAACAACTGTGAAAGACTTGGCTATTCCAATCAAAAATACAATGATTCAAGACGATTCCAAAGGACTCATGATTTAAAACAAATTTTTTAAAAAGCTATCCACTGCCTGGAAAGAGAGAACTGATAAACTGAGTGCAGATTGAAACATACTTTTTTCACTTTATGTTCCTTTTTTTTGGCAACATGGGTAATACGGAAATGTTTTGCATGACTCCACATGTGTAATTGATATACCGCTTGCCTTCTCAATGGATAAGGGACGGGAAGAATTTGAAACTCAAAATTTGAAAAAAATGTTAAAAACAATATATAAATATGTAAAATAAATAGATAAGCAAATAAACGTTAAAAACAATATGAGAAGGGGTCCACAGATTTCAGCAGACTACCAAAGGAGGCCATGACTCCAAAAAATAAAAATAAAGGTTAATAACTTCCGCTAGGTAGCTGGCACAAAGGAAACAACAGAGACGCCCCAAAAGGAAAGATCCCTATTCACTCTCCTAACATCTCTGGGCCTCGGTATACTCATCCATAAAGCTGCCCACCTGCGATGTCTTCCAGCTCCGGATCTATTCCTCCCCACACCTCCTGCCCCTGCCACACCCTCCACGAAACCCGGGGGCCACAAGGCGGAGGTGAGATCCCAGCCGCTCGTCCCACTCACGCGCAAGCGTGAGGTGTGGTTCTCTCCCCCGGGGGCCTGAGGTCTCGGTGGCCCAGAGGCCAATTCCGACCGCGAGAAGCCAGCGTATCTCCCCACCCCCCGCCCCCCGCCCCCCGCCCCCCGCTTCTCTTCGGCTCCCCTCCCCCTCTCCTTTCCCTAACTCTCCCTCTTCCTTTCCCTTTTCCTCCTCCTCTTCCCCTTCCTCCTCCCCCCAGCTAGGTTACCTGGGCCTCCGGAAGAAATAGGGCCCCGGGGCCCTGTCGAGGGGCGCGGGAGGGGAGGCCCAGGCGGCGTCGACTGGCGGCAGGCGCAGCTGCCACGGGATCTCCTCCGCTGCCCGCACCAGCCCCTTGCAGTGCTGCCGGAGGATCCAGCCCCGTCCGGTCGCCATGGAGACGCTAGAACGCTGGCCCGGGCGGGACGGAGCCCGAGGGCGGCCCGGAGCCCAGATAGAGGGGAGGGGCTCGTGGCCTTCCCCCTCTGGAAGAGGAGGAGGAAGAGGAGGAGGAAGAGGAGGAGACGGAGGAGGCGGCGGCAGAGGAGGCCGGAGCGCTAACGACCGTCAGCGTCTCCGCACTCACGGCCCCCCGCCCGCCGCCGCTCGCCGAAGTACTCCGGGCCTCCGCGGAAATTTCTTCCTCAGGCACTCGGCCCCATCACCGCCTGCGGCCGGGCCGTTTTCCTCCGCCCGCCGCCGGTGGCGCGCAGGTCGCTCTTGGGTACTAGGCGGCTGAGCTGGCGATGGAAGGGTGGGGTGGGGGTGGGTTAATGGCCCGTGTATAAGGTCGCTGCCCCCTAGAACCCAGGATAAATTTATGGAGAACTGACGGAGGCCCTGGAGCAACTGATGGGGAGTGTAGTGGGAGAAGGAAAGAGAGTCCTGACCTTTCTCATTACCAATAGTCCTTAATAAAAAAGAACATACAAATGATGGACGAAATTCCAAGCTGTTGGGTTTTGTTTTGGTTTGGTTTTTTTTAGGATTTGACGAAGTCGATAAACCATTAGCTAATCTGATGGGGGGAGGGAGGAGAGAGAGAGAGAGAGATCAAACCGGCAAATAAAAGATGAATAAAGTGCACATCGGAAAGGAAATTTTAAAATTATCGAGAACTACTTTACACAACTCTACGGGCTACAAAACGGAGGATTCAAGGGGAAATTGGTAAATGTCTACAAAAATATAAAACACCCAAACGTTCCGGAATGATGACGCGCCTCTGTGCTGCCAGGCTTGGGCTTCATCTTACGCGTGTCCCCCACGTACTGTGACCTTCTAGAGGTCAGAAACTTTCATTCCTGGCTTGGCCGGTGGTAGGGGCTTAAAAGGGTCCATTAATTCATTCAAGCATCTTCGTAATTATCTCACGTTCCCTCACCTCCGCCCAGGGAGCTTTTCCAGTCTGGCAGTTCACTTAATCTAGTGTCTGCCACACCAATGCATCTCCTTTATCTTGAGGAGTCTGAGAATTTTTATGCAAATGCTACTCTAAAGTGAAGCAAAACATTTGTTGTTGTTTTTTTAATAAAGCACTAGTGAAGAGTAACAATCCCTAGGTTTTTATCGTGTATTTTTTAAACAAATGTATACTAATATTACAACTAATATCACGTGAAGGAGTCTTCAATTTCATATGTAAGTAGATTGGAAAACATGATGAAACAACAGGCCTGCGCCTGTTTCCTTGTCAGTAAAAAGAGGGATTGGGCTAAATGGTTTCCACTGTTTCTTCCAGAGTTTACCAGTCTATGATTATGAGTTATTGCCAATGATACAGGCTTGTTAAAGCTGGAATCCTTGGATTATTACTTACATCAACGCTGCGAGGTCTACTGGAGCAAAAATGCTATGTCAGTACAGAATATTAACAGAAAGGTTTGCTGCTAATTAATCTGTGATCTGTGAAGTTTATTATCCTGGCTTTACCGAAGTACGGGAACGTAAAGACCTAAGTAATTTGCCCATAATCACAGAAAAAAAAAAATCAGTGAACGAGCAGGAATTAAAATTAAGCCAATTCAATTTACACAATCCTTTTAATTTAGGGTACTGTGAGATTTGCCGTTTATAATTATTAGATATCAATATAACTATTGATTTTGCAAGAGGTTAAAGGGAAAGCTCATAATTAAACTCAGAGAAGAGGGATAAAGAAAATTTTAAACGTGCCACAAATTTTTTTAAAGCATAGTTCATTCTTATACTTCAACTACGTGCAGCCCGTGCTTTCAAACAAGAGCATGAGAGGTGGCGAGGGGGTTAAATGGAGCTCCCCACACATTGCATTGTGGAATTTGTAGTCCGCTTTTACTTTCCTACGGCGGGCAAGTCTATCAATAACAACGTCTGCAAACTACTAGTCCCAGGGATCCTCGATATTTTCCAGGAAACTTTGGAAATACAATGGCGGGGGATATGTGAATGTCAGTGAGCCGTGGGTAAAAGTTGTCGTTTCTATTTAAGTAAGAGGAGGGCCACAAAGGAAAGCAGGTAGAAGTTAATTTTTCCACTGATATCTTCCTTTTAATTAGAAATCGCTGCAGCTCACATTGCCATATGAACCCTGTGCTCCTGTTTGTGGTTCTAAGGGTCACTCACTGCAGACCGCGGTAGGTGTCTGGGCGGCCGTGCAGACTCTAAACTCGTGCAAAGTGTGTCTGGTGGCAGGTTCTGTCCGGGGAACCTCTTTCTCCGAGCATGATTTCTGCGTCTTTACTTCGAGCTATTCAGTACACAGAGAAGCTACACAGCTCCCCTGGAAAGCGACTGCTTTTGCTCCAGCTGGTCCCCTTCAACAAAGCCTGTATTAAGACGTGGCCATGTTTGAGGTGGGGGCTCCTGGAGCAAAGGGAAGTTGTACTGCAACCTAGACGCATCCTTAGGGTCACTCAGAAAGGCATCTGGACTCAGGGAAACAAGGCCCTGAGAGCAGAAGAGGACGGCAGCAAACAAGTGTCTGTGCAGAAAAGTCAGAGGGAAGGACCTGCTCTTTCAACTTCACAGAGAGGTAATAATCAGTGAGTTGCTTGTGCCTTTTGAATCAGATGCAGTGTTTAAATAAGAAAAAAAAAAGAAAGAAAGAAAAATTGACACAAAGATAGAACATGAACACAACCAGAGTCATGGAATACGGACTTGACATTTCCTCAGCCAGTTAGAACACTGGTATAGTATCAAATCAAGTAGTATCAAAGTCCTACTAAACTGCTATTTACCGCTTGTGTTATTTTCGTCAAGTCACTTCATCTCTCTAGGCCTCAGTCTGCTTCTCTGTAAAAAAAAAGGGGGGGGGAATTGGACTAGAGGGAGTTTTAAACTTTTTTATGTGTTATGAACGAACCCCTTTGGCAGTCTGGTGAATCTTTTGGATCCATTCTCAGAATATTTTTAAATGCATCAAATAAGGTACATAGAATTACAAAGGAAACTATTGTATTGAAGTAAAGACTTTCCCATACAATGCTGGGACCTCCAAAATCTCTCCACAGGGTGGATCAGAAAATTGCTAAGGTCCTTTTCATTTCTAATTATATTTGATCGTAATCTGCCCCATTACACCTAGAAAAAATAATGAGGGGGAGGGGAGTAACCACTTATAGACTGTTTTAGTATCCATTGGGGGAAAAATGACTAGAACCCTGCTCAAAAAAAAAGAAAAAAAATACTTCCATTTAATTGTCACCAGATTATTTTAGTCATATTCAAGAAGTATTTAGCAGCCCCTCCTAAGAGCCCAACTGTGCACTATGTTCTTTGGTTGTACAAAAGCTGTCTTTCCCTGTCTCTAAAGTGCTCCCTATTTGGGAAGTAGGATACATATCATAAAATAATTACAGAGTGAGAACTAGTTAATAAGGTATTGAAGTACAGCTGTTTGAAAATAAGACTATAATAAGGTATTAATTATGCTACAGATAGAGAGATTAGGATGGGATAGACTCATTAAGTAAAGTTTTACAGAGGAAGTTGGACTTGAAGTGGGTCTTAAAGTACAGTACGACTGAGACCTAGCACAGGGCTTTGCAAGTAGTAAATAAAATGAGTGGGTTGCCCTCTGTTGGAGAGACACTCTAATGAATTGGAAAGAGCTATCTATGGATTTGGAGTTGGAAGGTCTAGGTTTGCATCTGGGCTCTGCCACAGCTCTACCTCCGTATTATGAAGTATTATTCATTGAAAGATTAAGGAAAAAGGCATTATCTAAACCAGAAGAATTAGCATCCAGAGGGGTCTAGTTGACCCAAAAGAGAACAAATAATTTACTTTGGGCAATAAGGTCATGTGATGTGCATGTGCATTATTTGTTCTTTTGCATTATTTTATTTTGTGCAAATCCAAATATTGAATAAGGACAAAGCTCACCGAAGCTTTCTCCACTTCTGAAACTTTATTGGGAGACTGAGTGACAACCTTGGGTGTGTGGTGAGAATTATCTTGTTTGGAACAATATAGTGAACAATACATCTAAACCCTGGTTTAAATGAAAGAGTTACCTTTAACACAGTTGGTATTTGTACTATCTCATTTCATTTAAGAACCTATGTTCCAAACTATGAGAGAGAAGTATATGATCCTAGTTACTTTTTTTAAGAAGGAATTAATCATGAGGCTGGAGCCAAGATGTCAGAATAAAAGCAGGGATTTGATTTTGCTTTCCCCCAAAGCCCTCCAAATACCTGTAAAAATGACTCTAAATAAATTCTAGAGCAGCAGAACCCACAAAATGACACAGTGAAACAAATTTCCAGTCCAAGACAACCTGGAAGGTCGACAGGAAAGGTCTGTTGCACCAGTCTGAGAGAAGAGTGTAGTCCAGGGCAAAACGTGCCAGCACAGACTGGGCCCCAGCAAACCCAGAGCAGGCTTCAGGGCGGCAGCTGTGGAGGTCTCTAGACTTCTCAACCCACAAATGCCAAAGACAACTTACAAGGTCAGTAGGAAAGGTGTGTCGGACCTGGGTGAGAGAGGAGTTCAGTCTGGCCCTAGCCCTGGGGCTGTAGCTGCTTCCAAAGCTCTCAGCTCACAGATGGTGGTAGGGAGATGAAGCAGCTGATCAGAGGGGGATTATAGGGATCTCTTTGCTGGCACTGAGGCAGGATTCTCTTGCTTTGCCCCATGCTTTAATCTGGGTCGCAGTCCTGGGTGTTGATCTAGGGCAAGGAGGAGCACTGGCATGGCAGAACTTGTGGCAGTGGTGGAGAGGTAATCCTCCTCACAGTTCCAAGGCAGAAAAGAGTGCTTGTGGTCACTCATAGACTAAAGCACAGGCCAGCAAAGGAGTAAACACCTCTCCTTTGATCATACCATCTTGGAAGAATTGAAAATTTACAAGTCCCTAGAATTATCTCTGAAAACAGCTGAATAAAACCCCTAAAACTTGGGATAGTACATTCTCCACACTGGAAGCAGAGCCCTACTTTAACAAAAAGTTAAGTCAAGTAGTTGGTTGGGAACATGAGCAAACAATGGAAAAATACTCAGAGTATATAGAAGCTTACTTTGGTGACAAAAAAGATCAAAACATACAACCAGAAGACAGCAAAATCAAAGCTCCTACATCCAAAGTCTCCAAGAAAAATATGAATTGGTCTCAGGATGTGGAAGAACTCAAAAAGGATTTTGAAAAGCAAGTAAGAGGAAATAGAGGAAAAATTGGAAAAAGAAATGAGAGTGATGCAAGAAAATCATGAAAAACTTTTTCATGAAAAATCATGAAAACAAAGTCAACTAGCTAAAAAAGACCCAAAAAAATACTGAAGAAAATAACACCTAAAAAAAAATAGACTAACCCAAATGGCAAAAGAGGTCCAAAAAACCAATGAGGAGAAGAATGCCTTAAAAAGCAGAATTGGCCCAATGGAAAAGGAAGTCCAAAAGCTCACTGAAGAAAATAATTCCTTAAAAAATTAGAATGAAGCAAATGGGAGCTAATGATTTTATGAGAAATCAAGAAACAATAAAACAAAACCAAAAGAATGAAAAAATAGAAGACAATGTGAAATATCTCATTGGAAAAACAACTGACCTGGAAAATAGATCCAGGAGAGATCATTTAAAAATTAGTGGACTTGAGGCAGCTAGGTAGTGTTGTGGATAGAGCTCTGGCCTTGGAGTCAGGAGGACCTGAGTTCAAATCTGACCTCAGACACTTGACACTTATTAGCTGTGTGACCCTGGGCAAGTCACTTAACCCCAATTTCCTCACAAAAAAAAAAAAATTGGATTACCTGAAAGCCATGATCAAGAAAAGCCTAGACATCATCTTTCAAGAAATTATCAAGAAAAACTGCTCTGATATTGTAGAACTAAAGGGTAAAATAAAAATTGAAAGAATCCACCAATCACATCCTGAAAGAGATTTAAAAAGGAAAACTCCCAGGAATGTTATAGCCAAATTCCAGAGTTCCCAGGTCAAGGAGAAAATATTGCAAGCAGCCAGAAAGAACCAATTCAAGTATTGTGGAAACACAATCAGGACAACATAAGATGTAGCAGCTTCTACATTAAGGGACCAGAGGGCTTGGAATATGATATTCCAGAGGTCAAAGGAGCTAGGATTACAGCCAAGAATCACCTACCCAGCAAAACTGAGTATAATCCTTCAGGGGAAAAAATGGATATTCAATGAAATAGAGGACTTTTGAGCATTCTTGATAAAAAGACCAGAGCTGAATAGAAAATTTGACTTTCAAATACATGACTCAAATACAAGAAGCATGAAAAGGTAAACAAGAAAGAGAAATCATAAGGGACTTAATAAAGTTGAACTGTTTACATTCCTATATGGAAAGATGATATTTATAACTCATGAGACCTTTCTCAGTACTAGGGTAGTTGGAAGGAATTTATATATAGACAGAGGGCTCAGGGTGAGTTGAATATGAAGAGATGATACCTAAAAAATAAAATTAAGGGGTGAGAAAGGAATGTACTGGGAGAAGGAGAAAAGGAGAAGTAGAATTATCTCACATAAAAGAAACAAGAAAAAGTTTTTACAGTGGAGGGGAAAAGAGGGAATGTGAGAGAAAATGAGTGAATCTTATTCTCATTGGATTTGGCTTAAGGAGGGAATAGCATACACACTCAATTGGGTGTGGAAATCTATCTTACCCTACAGAAAAATAGGGGAGAAGGGGATAAGAGAGGGGAGGATGAAAGGGGGGGGCAGATTGGGGGAGGGAGTAATCAGAAGTAAACACTTTTGAGGAGGAACAGGGTCAAAGGAGGGAATAGAATGAATTGGGCGGGATGGGTTGTAGAGAAATATAGTTTGTCTTTCACAACATGACTATTATGGAAGTGTTTTGCATGACTACATATGCAAACCTATGTCACATTGCTAGCCTTCTCAATGAAGGTGGGTGGGGAGGGAGGAAGGAAGAGAATTTGGAACTCAAAGTTTTCAAAACGAATGTTAAAAATTGTTTTTACATGCAACTGGGAAATAAGATATATAGGCAATATAGGAGTATAGAAATCTATCCTGCTGTACAGGAAAATAGAAGACGAAAGGGATAAGAGAAGGGAGGGTGGTGGTGATAAAAGGGAGAGCAGATTGGGGGAAGGGGTAATCAGAATGCACAGGGTTGTGGGGTGGAGGGAGAGAAGAAATGGGGAGAAAATTTGGAACTCAAGATCTTGTGATAGTGAATGTTAAAGACTAAAAATTAATTAATTATTTTAATTAACCACAAAAAAAGAAGGACCTAATCATGTACAAATTTGTTTATGGATATGTCAGAATGTAAGTCAGTTTTCAATATCAAATGTTCCTCACAGTTAAATTATATTTTCCTATACCTTTGCTTCTAGAAGTAGTCTAGCTGAATTCAAAACTTATATTTAATCCATTCATGAAACTTTCTTCAATTTCCACAAATGATCCTGTTTGTTAGAAGTATAATGAATATTTTTATTCGTATTGAGAAAGCCACATGAAAAGTACAGGGCATTCCCCACATCTGTTCAGTTTACAAATCATTTGGGCTGCCCAAATTCCCTTTCAATTTCCATTCTTGCTTACTGAAATGTCTTTGGCCTATTCAGTGGGGGTGGCATTACTAGAAAATGATGACAAACTAAGTTGTTGAAGCCAAGACTTTATTTCGGCCTTTAACAAACAAATTACCAAAGTCAATTTTTTCTGCCCCCCTTTGCATAGTTTATGTAGCGTTGTATTCTTATTATAGTACACAGTGCAGGATATTGGAGCAGTTATCATGAGAACTGCAGAAAGAAGAATTGTCTTTGCACATAGAAAATGTGTGGATATTTGACATTTACCTGGCAATGTGGTGTCTTAACAGTTTTAAATAAAGCACTTTAGAGACTGACTGGTTATTATTTGAAAATCATCAACTAGAAGAATGTTCTTTGGGCCCCCTTGAAGCAGTGGAGTTTGCGGTTTCAACTATAATAACTCTTTATTTTCACCCACCTCTAACTGAAATTTAGTATTTCCCTCCATTATCAAAAAACATTCTTTTGAGAAGGGATCCATAGGCTTCACTAGACACTAATAAAAATGTTAGAAATGGCCTTTAAACTGTAGTCTTTAAAACTGTAGTTCTTTAAACTAGTTGGAAAAACACCATTTAAAACACTAACCCCATGTTTTTGACTCAGTAGTAGTTGTGCAGTTGTTTCAGTCATGTCCGACTCTTCATAACCTCCTTTGGGGTTTTCTTGGCAAAGATACGATAGTGGTTTGCCATTTCCTTCTCCAGGTCATTTTACAGATGAGGAAACTGAGGCAAATAGGGTTAAGTGATTTGCCCAGGGTCACACAGCTAGTAAGTGTCTTAGGTCGTGTTTGAACTCAGGGAGATGAATCTTCCTGACTCCAGGCCTGGCAGTCCATTCACTGTGCAACCTAGCTGCCCTTCTACAAGTAGTAGCAAAATTTTATTAATGTGTATATAGTTCATGTATAACTTTTGTTGTTTTCCCTTTACAGTGAAAGAAGCTGGAAGAGATTTTACCTATTTAATAATAGTGCTTATTGGAATCAGTGTCACAGGTTGAAAAAAATAGCAAGTATAATTTCTAAATTTCTCCATTTACATATTGCCTCAATTAGATCTTATTTTGTTTTCATTTGCTTATCCTGTTATTTCAGGTGGCTTATTCTATGTGATTTTCCAAGAACTTTTCTCCTCATCCAGCCCTAATAAGATTTATGGAAAAGCCTTAGAAAAATGCAGATCTCATCCAGAGGTTAGTTGTTAAGACTGTTACCACATATGAACTAGAAAATAAAATAGAGACAAAAAAGCTGGTGGGAAGCATGTTACACAGGATTCTAGTACTGACTTACATTGAATGCTGGTGTCCTTCGGGCGACCTGACCTCTTATTTCTAAATGGGATTATAATACTGCATTCCCAAGGGGGAAATGTGATTTTATATTAGAAGCAGAGTGGTATAATGAAAAGAGTGCAGGGTTTAGACTTAGAAAAGAGGAAGTTGAAATAGATGGCCGCTAAGATCTATTTCATATCTGTATCTATGATCCTATATAGGACGCATTTTGAGCCCTTCCAAGTGAAACTCAAACAAAAATTCATACTAATGTTATAATTATTAGTAATACAAAATGCTCTGAAATGTATTAACTTTACCAGGGCTCATTTTAGTGCCCAGAAGTATTATTTTACTTGATATACTAGTGGCAGAAAAATATTAATTCATCCTTCACTTAACAGTGCTAGATTTACTTCCCAGAAGTAGCTCAGTTACTAGGAGGCTCTCACAATGATTAAAGTTTGAATGAGTAACTTAAAGGTATTGGCGTCATTAATGTCAATTAAGATATTGTCATACATGGCCAAAGATTAAATCAAAAAGCCATCTCTCCGTCCCCACACACTCCCAATCTAAGCCATTTTATGGCTTTGTGGGAATTACTACACCCTCCAAAGTTTTCTCTTTTTCATTGATCTTTCAGTTCTTAGAAGCCAGAATACAATCCAGAGGGTCTTCTGTGTCTAGAGAACCAAGTATAAAAAATAGGAGTAATCAGTATGGATAACAGCATAGCTAGAAAGATTACATCATAGAACTCATCCACTTAGAGGATGTCCACTGTTGTTGAACAAAGCAGAATTTCATCAAATGAAGCTAAGACTGATATCACAGTCAGAATTTGCATGATCTAAAAGGTTAACTTGAGGTTTAAGCAGGCAAAACAGCTAATAGAAAGAAATGATTATTGTGATGTATTTAATCTGTTGCTGTTTGAAGTTAATTATGTGAATAAGCATTTGCACCTGTTCCAACTTCACAGTTCTGGGACACATTTGTTATAACATTACTCTTTTTTAATTTATGCCAGAAAGCATAGAAACTGAATACCCACCTCAACAAAGAAACAGGGTATTACAGGGGTGAAAGAAGTAATATAGCGTAAGGGAAGAATATTTAATTTATTTGGATGAAACACTTTATTTGCCTTAGCAAGTATTTCTAAAGGGACATAATTTAAAACTCTGTTTAAAAACTGCATAGCTGCTTCACTATGAATTTCCCATTAGAAGTAGTTTATTAAAACATCTAGACTTAGTCTGTTCTAAATATGTCGATAATAATTGATTTCTACCTTGTTCTAGCATTTGCTTTTTAAAGTATTTTGTTTTAATAGCATCTTATATTAAACTTTGTTCTTTAAATCAAATTAAAATCTTTGAACATTTGATTTTAACATCATGAGCTGCTGTTAGTATCTGAATGCCTGAACATTTTGTTTTCAGAGACTTTTTGTGTTTAGTGAGGGGTTGATGAAAATAATTTTTCACTTCAACTTTGATTGAGCCTTCAGTGCATCAAAGTCATTAAAGAACTAAAAATCACCCCCAAAACAACTCTTCTCATTTCTTTTAAGGTCTTTGTTTTACTTTAAGACTGGAGTTGTGACATAATAGGATTAAGCTTACTGATTTTTGGTAGAATAAATCTCAAACTTCCTGAAAGGAATATTTTACATGAGAAACATCTTAAAAGCCATTTACTTTTAAGTTACTTTCTTTTTTTTTTTCATAGGTAGTCAGTGTTTTTGGTCACAGCATTAAAGGTTATGGGGAATCAACAAGGCGAGGTAGAAGACAGCATGTCAGGTATGATAACTTTGCTTGTAATGAAGTTAAGTAATTATGAAAATTAAAATCATTCAGATGTGATTTGCTTATCTTCTTGGCAGTCATATTGAATATGTAAAAGATGGGCTAAAGCACATGCGTCTGAAATTCTACATTGAAGGCTCAGAACCAGGGAAGCAAGGAACTGTGCATCTTGAAATGAAAGAGGTATGAAAATAACCGTGGATGACATGATAATGAAATTCTTTGAAATTGACATTGCTGGAAAAAATAACACCTTTGAAGTATGTTTTTCCTACTTTCAGAACCCAGAAAGTGGCAAATATGAATTTCGCTATATATTTGTGGATGTTGATGCCTTTCCTAGAAGAACCATTGTTATTGAAGATAATCGATCCTGAGATAATTAACTAAAAGAATTAAGCAACTCTGATATGTTCTACTATGTAACATAGTAGGGAATCAAACTATTCTGATTTTCACAGTTCTCTTTATGAGCCTATTATGAATAAGATATAAAAAAGGATGTGTAATAATGAGGGGATGTATGTTGCATAAGAGTGATAATATTAGAGATCTTCAGTTGGGCAAACCATGAAATAAAGTACTTCTGTATTTTATCCAAGTGAATTGTTATTCACAGACATTATTTTTGCTTCATCTAGAACAATGCCATCTTTCAAAATAGGAGTTTTCTTCTATTAAAATTTTATGCTGCTGAAACATGGAAGATGAATTATAGGACTCTGTGCTTTTCCTTATGTTATGCAACCTTATAAAAAACCTTTGAAATAAAATTAAACTTGGAAAAAAGATGTCAGAAGTAAATTATCTTGCTGTACAATTTTGAATCTGAATTCTGTGTGAATATGAGGAAGTAACTTAGGAATTAGAGCACACCAACTAATAATGGAGTAAAGCTGTTCAAAATCAACAAAGATTGGATGCTATGTTCAATTAATCATAATATTTAGGGATTCTTTATATATGCCATCTTTTATAATATGCTCTTTTACTTTATACAGCCAAAGGAGACCTTGGAAGTAAATAAAGTTAGTATAAATAACAGTTCCTTTGATTATAAATAATCTGTGTTGTATAAAGGTTTTTGGTGGGGAATAGATAGAGTTGACTGTCACCAAGTAGGGATAAAGATTGCTAAATCCATTCCTAAAATCTTGGTACAGAGCAAAGTGTGACGTCCGAGTGTTGGTCTTCTGGTAACTAAAACGTTGATACAGCCTTGCTAAAAGAAGGAAATGCTTATTTCAAAACATTTAAATAAGACACTTGCTCATGTTTTAATTGTAAGAGAGACAGTTGAATATGAAGGGGAAAAGCACTGGATTCAAAGTCAGGGAAGTCCTGGGTTTGAGTATCTATGTGATCATACATGACTCGGCCTCTCTCAGACTTTTTTCATCTATAAAATAGAAATAGAATTTATATTATTCACTTCTTATAGTTATTGTGAGAATCAAATGAGATACGGAAGATAGAGCACTTTGTAAATCTTTAAATGCTACAGAAATTTTAGACATTAAAGTATTTTACTTACTAGTGATTGTGAGACCACATTTTATTAGAGATGTGGAGTATCAAAGAATGTTAGAATAATAGTACCTAGCATGTACATAGGACTTTAAGGTCTTCGAAGTACTTTGATGGTGATAATCAGAGTTTGAAATCCAGAGGTAAATCTGTGTTGCCATTGAAATATTTAATTATCATTTTGCCTCAAAACGAAGAACATTCTGTCTTTTATGAAGCTATTGTCCTTTGGGTTACTTTGGATTCTGAGAGGGTCCCCTAATGGTGCCTGTGAAGATTTCAACACACCCTTGAAATCTTTTTGCTTTTGGCCAGTAGGGTGAGATCAATGGAGATTTAGTCTCCAAATAAACCCTGTGAATTATTGCTTTGAGAGAGGAGGGCAATTTACAAGTTTTACTGAACTATAAAGCACATGTACTATTTAGGGAAAATTCTAACTCAATTCAAATATAAATACTATGGAAAATAGCTTCTATAAATTGAGACCATAACAACAGTGCAACTTAAATATCATGCCACTTACACATTCAAGTAAAAAGATGGAATTAACGAAGACAACCGGGATAAAGAAGGGACTGAAGATTATGGCCTATTGAAAGAACTGGATTGGGATTCTTAGCCTAGAAACTAAGTTGAGTACATCATTGTTGTCTGTCATCTGGAAAAGGAAAATAGACCTGTTCCGCTTGGCCCCAGAGGGCCAAGCAGTGGAATGGGTGGAAATAGCAGGAAAGCCAATTTGAGCTCTTGCTTTGGTATAAAGAAAAGGTTCCCAACAATTACATCTGTGAAAACGTAGAATGTTCTGCCTCAAGAGGTAATGGGTTCCAATTTTTAAGCAAAAGCAGAGTGACCAGTGTACAGCAATGGTGTAGAGATTGTTATTAAGGTTTAGATTTAATGGATGTCCTCTGAAGTCCCAACTCTGACACTGTAAAGAAAATTCCTATTAAGGTACAGATTGGTCCCTCTCAACTGAGATGCTATGAATTAGGTTATTAGTTATTACTCCCTTCTCCCTGTTGGGTTGAAATGACACAAGGCCACATGGCCCAACAGCTCCCTCAAATCTTGAAAAAGCAGAGTAAGGGAGAGCTGAGTAAGTAAGGCCAGGAAGAAAACCAGAGAGATATATAGCAAGCCATTTTTCACTTCCCCATACACAAAAAAACAAAAACAACAAAAAAGCCCTAGATCACATAACTTCCAGGGCCACCAAAAAACAAAGCAAAACAGGAATACTACTATAGCAGAAGAGCAGAAGCTGCTGTTTACAGTAAGAGGAAAAGCTAAGTAGCACAGATTGACAGGATTTTGGTCCTCTAAGGGGTCTCAGCATCCATCCATCTAGACCAGCTCCAAATGTAAAATGAGAGCTTTCTAATTTTGGTTTTTATTGGCATCAAACCTCAGTTTGCCTCCTTGTAACTTCCAGCCATTCTTCCTGGTGCTCTCCTGTGGGGCCTAACAGGGCAGTTCACCCCTTTTTGAAGTAGCATGTCGTGAACACTTGTCCTGCTCCGTTCCCAGTGATCTGCCTCAGTTTTACCAGCTGTTCTGACCTGGGCTCTGGACATCGCCCCTGGCCAGGGCCATCCTAGACTCTGCCCTTCATATCCACCCAATGGAATATGATTATCCATTGGGTGAATATGAAGCACTGGCCCTGAAGTCAGAAACGTGTTGGGTTCAAATCCTGACTCAAACATATCTGTACAACCCTCTGAAAGCTATCTAACCACATAGACCCTTATTGTCCTCATCTATAAAATGGAGACAGCAGTTTCAGTAGCACTTGCCATAGGGGAATATTGCAGTGACCAAATGAGAATAATATATGAAAAATAGTTTGCAATATTTAAAGTGCTACATAAATGTCACTTGTTATTAGTATCCCTAGTGATGTGTTTCATTCTGCTTTGAGCCAAGACTTGCTTAAGTAGTGATCCATGAATATGCTGGATGGCCTGAATTACCTCTGTATATGACTCATTTCCTATCCCCTGAAATCCTTCCTTGACCTTAGGAGGCCATCACTGTTATCCTTTATCCAGGCAATTGGTTCCAGGTTTTCCAGTCAGCTGCTCTCCACCTGTCCCTGGTCAGTGGCTACCTGCAGCACCTGCATAAGATGTTGACTCTCTGTGTCCAAAGCGTAAGTACCTGGGACTGAGAAGCATATGTTGAATGGCATCGTACCAGAGTAGTTGTCTAGTGCCAAGAGGGAAAATGCACATTGGGAAACTGTGATTTAGGAATTTGGTTCTCCAAGCCACTGTACCCCACTTTTCTAACTCCAGCAAACCCTGGGACTTGACTCAATGCCTATTTCTGGTTTCTGCTTGTTGTTACCTTTTATATCAGCCAGTCAATCAACATGCTTTTTTTAAGTGTGTTGTGCTAAATTGACATGCTTTTATTAAGTCACTTTGTGCTTAATGTGCCAGGCACTTGGCTAGACACTGGGGAATAAAAAGACAAAACAGAACCTTTGCTCAAGGAGCTTACATTCTCTCAGAGGAAATAGCACATATAGATAGAAACAGATGCAAAGTAATTTGGGAGGAGGGGCTGCTAACAGCTGGAGAGATCAGATTAAGGTCTCATTGAGAAGATGGAACTTAAACTGAGTTTTAAAGGAAACCTGGGATTTAAAAAGGCAAAGGCAAAAAGGGAGTGCATTCCAAGCATGGGTTTTATAGGCTATGCAAAGGGCACAGAGAAGGAAGATGGAATGTTATGTGTGAGGTTCAAAAGGCCAGTTTGGCTGAAATGAAGAGTGCATTAAGAAGTAATATACAACAAGGCTGGAAAGGCAAATTGGAAACAGACTGAAGGGTTTTAAATGCCAAACAGAGGGCTTTGTATTTTTATCCTAGAGGTAATAGGGAGCCACTGGAATCTAATGAGGAGAGGGGTGGTATAGGCAGAGGTATGTATACTTTAGGAATACCATTTTCGCTCCTGTGTGGAGGAAGCATTGGAATGAGGAGAGACTTGAGCAGGAAGAGCAATTGGAAGGCTATTGCAATAGTCTGGGATGAGAGACGATGATGATCTGAAGTAGGATGGTGGCCATTTGACTGAAAAGAGAAGTAGATGTGAGAGATGATATGGACAAGACCTGGCAACTGATTGGTTGTGAGGGGTGAGAAAGAGTGAGAGTCAAGGGTGACTTCCAGGCTGCAAACCTGTGGACTGAAAGGGTGGTGGTGCCACTGACAGAAAGAGGGAGGTTTGGAATAAAGATGAAATAATGAAATGAGTCTGAGGTGCCTCTGGGTCACCATCCAGCTTTCCCTGTATGGGGCCCACAGAGTCTCCCTCCTCCTTCTCCTTCCTTAGCCCCTAAATTCAATATAAATCCCTCCTTTAATTGTTGGGAAGGGCAGCTAGATGACTCAGTAGATAGAATGTCAATGTCAGGTCTAGAGTCAGGAAGACTCATCTTCCTGAATTCAAATCTGGCTTCAGACACTAACTAGCTGTGTGACCTTGGGCAAGTCACTTAATCCTATTTGCCTCCATTCCTTATCAGTAAAATGAGCTGGAGAAGGAAATGGCAAACCACTCCAGTGCATTTACCAAGAAAACCCCCAATAGGGTCACGAAGAGTCACTCACGACTAAAACGACTGAACACAAATTGTTAGGGAGAGAAAGGAGGGCAATGAATCTTACTACATCCCTCCTTACTTACCTTACTTTCATCCCACCTAATGGCATTAGTCAATCTCCAGAAAAAAAAAAACAACCATAATGCTATATGAAACATTACAATGAAGCAGTTAGTTCCAAAGGAACAATGCTATAAATGAGCTTACAGAGCTTAGCACGTTGCATGATTTTTAATGGGGTTTGGTTCTAAGGGGTTACCAATATTATGGCAAAATGATATTGCTCAGGTTTATGTCTGTATGTCTGTAACCATTTTGGGAAAACAACAGGAATTCATAATAACAAGCAAAAGGAAAAGTACAAAATTACTTAAATGTTAATAACTAACTCTTGTATTTCAAATATATGTTAAGGAAACTATGAATTAGTCTTTCTTAATTCCCTCTTCTCTTATTGATTGAACTCTCTTTTAGATCTTATACCCAGAGTAAGCACTATTCCAGACTTTCATAGAAGTCCCTCCCTCCTCCCCCTTTTTTTTAACCTCTCAAAATTGGTTTCTCCTGGAATACCCTTTTTCCTTAGACAAAGAAGTAAAATCCAAATAATATCCTTGACTCCCTCCCTACTATTTCTGCCTGTGCTTCAGTTCCACAACCTGAGTGGAAGTGTAACTTGTGGCTCAAAACCATAGCTCTGAACTAAAAGACAGAATTCAGTATGGAAGGCTTCTTAATAATAATTATGGGCTAATTTTCCCCTTACTCAGACAGAAGTCTACCTAGGAACATATGAATTTGACTTGATACTAGCTAGCTCTAGCCTAGAAGTATTCAGTTTTCCTACAAACATTGA